CCCCCCCCCCCCCGCTCGCATCCACAACATTGTATCATTTACTCGCCCGAAATTGGGTTTATTTATATTTAAGTTAGCAAAATTGAAATCTTTATCCCAAAAGCGAGCGTGGGTACTTAATTAAATTCTAATTAGGACACTATCAATATCCCATTTAGCCACGTAGCCTTTGTGAGCCGCGGTCCCTTTCAGAGCCGTAAATGGGGGCTCGCCGCCTTATCTCTCCTGCAAGAGACGCCTTGAGAAGGGCTGCAAAAGATAATTTATAGGTTTTAATTACTCTTCATTCCGCCTGATCAGCTTGGCGTTCATCACAGGACGGCGAATAAAACCTGGTCAAAAGCACTGTCACTATTCCCTGGCAAGACGCTTAATCAAAGTAAGCAGGGCCATATTACACGCTGCGAGCTTCTCGCCGTAATTTCCCAGCTGCTGATAAAGCCGGTTGAATAATGCCGCGGTCCTTCGGAGACACCATTTACAGAAATGACTTTATTGACGGCTTAACGTCGGTAATTCATTTTACCTTTCATGTATTGGGAGCCCGGATTTGTTACAGTAATAGGATGATAAATGTCCTGGCGGCCCTATAGCTTTTATTATTGAATACAATACACACACCCATCCTTAAATGTTCCAAAATTGGGTAACAAAAGGGAGAGAGAGAGAAATCGAAGCCTTTAACTATTTAATTTGCTTTCCCTAGCGCTGGGAGGGGGGCGGGGGGCTGTGGGGGGAAAGAGACAGTGCCGTGTGTGTATGGGGGGATCGCTCCATCCGGAGCGCTCCTCTTCTGGAACCGCTCTGGATTCAGAGCTTCGCTATAAATCGTGTGGGTTTGTGCGCGGAGGGGTGGGGGGGGATCGCCGGGATCAATGAGGAGGGGTTAAATGGAAAGGCGAAGCGCATTTCCACGCTGGATGTTTGTTTGTTTTTGTTTTTGTTTTTTTTTATTCCGGCACAGAAATAGATAAATATTACAGCAGACAGTTGTTGCGGCCATCGGATGATACGTTTGCATCGGAAGGATGGAAGCTTAATACATATATATATATACTAGTAATAATCACCATATTAATTCCCCGTTAGGAAAAGTTCCCTCTTCAACTCGTGGCGATGGGAACACGGAAGGGGCGGTGGGGCCGCTCCGTGGGCTTCGTCCCGCTGTGCGTCCCAGGGCCGCTGCCGTCGGGGTTCGGGAGGTGCCCGCACGGTGCCCGTAGCGCCTCCTCGGCAAAGGGAAGGTGCCAACGCTCCCATTTCGTTTGATTCATTTTCTTTTTTTCTTTTTCTTTTTTTCTTTTTCTTTTTTTTTTCTTTTTAATTTGTTCTTCTTCTTTTCGAGGAAGGCCGACGGAAGGAGGAGGGATTCAATTCGAAATTCAAATTCAAATCCTTTACATTTTTGTTTTGTTTTCCTAGGAAGGAGGAAGTATAGGAACGTGGTTAATATACGCTGTGGTAATCCTATTTCCAGGTCTAGATCAGATCTCATTGGGGCCTTTGCTGAAGGACATAAATGAGTTGTTCCAATACAATGGATTTCATCCTTCCTACAGGGACCGGCTGACCAGCGGTTTTGTTAAAAGTGAATGCGAATAGATTTCTGCTACAAGTGCAGCATTATTATTATGAGCTGTAAGGTCAGACTATACATTCCGGGTCCCCAAAGCCTATAGACCCTGGGAAATGCGCGGGATATACCACGTCATTGTACCTGACAGTCCCTTCAATAGAGTAATTCAATTATCGCTCGGGGATTCGGTCTTCATTGAAAGCAATAATAGCAGTGTAATTCGTTGGTAAATAGGTGGTGGAAGCGGCCCCGATCGAAACTTTTTTTCGGGGCGCGGGGTTCCGTCTCCGGAATTCTCGTTGTCCGTGAGGGGAGCGGGAGGGGCAGCTCAGGGGTGGGCAGCTCAGACTGCCGAGGGCCGGAGAGGGGCAGCCCCGAGCGGGCGGTGCGGCCACCAAAACGCCCCGAGACGGAGCCGGAATCCGGCGGGGCCGCGTCCTCGCGTCCCGGTGCTCCGCTGCGGGACGGCGTCCGTTGGGAGCATCCCCGGCCGCTAAGCAGCCCGGCTGGGAGCTGCAGGGCAAGATTTGAGTTGTTTATTTGTTTGTCATTGTCCTCCCTTCTTTATTCAAAGGGGTTGGGGATGAAAATAGCCAGGGGAAGTTTGGGTGGAGGGGAGAGAAAAGTGTCTTTCTGGTTCTTGGCGGCGTTGTTGGTTTGTTGCTTTTCTAACAAGAAAAAAAAAAAAAAAAGGAAAGAAAAGGAAAAAGAGAGAGAGAGGGACGGAGGAAATATAAAAAGGAACAAGACGAAAGAGAAAAAAGAAAAGGCAACAGAAAAAAAAATAAAACGAAAAAAAAAGAAAAAAGAAAAGGAAGAAGAAAAGGAAAAGGTCAAAGCTTGAAAAGACCAGGGGGGGAAGAGTATCAAAGAAAAAATGGGAAAAAA